GGGGGGAGTTATTGCAAAATGCTTCAGACAAACGCTGAATGATGGGACTGGGCAATATATCCACAGTAAATCCTCACCAGGAATTTGAGGTGTGTGTTGTGTGCGAGTTAATGTGGGTCTGACCTTAGTTACTGCACTCATTACATTTTGGTTAACTTAAACGACTTATTTATGGTGTGAACCCAATGTGGTAGGCTGGATATTCTTATTGCTTATAAAACTAAGAATTTACATGAAGAATTTAAATGCACATTTTCAATTAGCAGATAGAAAACTGAGTGAAAACAGAAGCAAAATAAATAAATATCTCAAATTGTTACGCTTGGCTGTGGTTTACGTATAGATAATAAATAAGTATTTACAGGAAGCATGTGACATAAATTTGAATTAAAAAGATGACACTGCAGAAGAGAAAACAAAACAACATGATTGGTGTGAACCATGACACAGTGAGGTCACTAGAGAGGAAAAAAAAAATCATTGTGATTGCTTTGGTCACCTTTAGTTTTTAATGGTGAGTGATAGCAAAATTGTAAAAAAGTGCAACGGAAAAATTGTGTGAGGATTAGTGGTTTGCAGATGAGTCACCGTCTACCAAGCAAAATGACAAATAAAAAAGCCAGGTGGGAAATATGTATTTTTGGTATAGCACCTTAATTGCGACCAATTACACTTAGCAGCTGGCAACAACACCTCGGCAACCACCTGGAGAATACACTTTTTTTCCCCTCCCTTGTTACCGGTAGTTTCCGAGGGCCTAGAGACACTGACTGATCTCAAGGCCGGTGTGATCTTACACATCTCACCTTGCCAGTGGATACAGCAAGTCAAGTTCAGAAGTCATACTAATTGTGTAGTATTTATTTCAGTCCAATCTCTTGGACGGACCCCGTGTACTCCTCACTGGTTACCCAATTCTCACCTGTGGTTGAAGTCTTGTTGTTTACCCGGGCTCAGGATTTAGAGAGGGTCTTGAATAGTAGTTCTGTGGATGTAGCTTGGAGTGTAAAAAGTGCTTTGCTTGCTAGATGAGTTTTAAGGGGGGAAAATAAAGAAAAAGAAAAAAGAAAAAGAAGAAGACGCTATATAAATTATAGTCCATTTACCACGGACTAAACTAGAAGAGGGTAGGACATTAGCTAACCAACCTGAAGGTGTGATTTGATGAGTTAGCCAGTATAACAGCACGATGGTGCATCGATCACCTCACACCAAGAAAGTTTGAACCTGTCCAAAGACGTGCTTGCCAGTTTCTTGGTGGTTCTAAAGTAGTTGCTGGTGTGATGGGAAATCATTGTGGTGGTGGTGGTAGTAGTAGAAGTAGAAGAAGAAGAAGAATCATATTTTTATTAAAAAAGGTGTTTCAGCATGAAATCATCCTACTGTTACCATTAAAAAAAGATAAACTGTCCAATATGCAACAAATAAAGAGAAATTATTAATCTTATGACTTTTATACCTATGGTTTTTAACACTGGAAAAGATGCACTAACAGGCAAGGAGAGTGTTTTTTTGTCATTCTTGGGTTAAATCTCATGAGCTCAGTAGGAGGGTATGAACAGTGCCCACGTGCAGTGTGCAGCACTGGAACAAATCCAAGCTTGAACAGCACTGGCCTGTGAAACTATTCTGATGTAGGGGCTAAACCAGGTTGTTAGGAGCTCCATGTTCAGCTTGTGCACACTGAACACAAAACAATCATTACAAAAAAAAAGAAAGCCTTTTCTCCCCCTTCATAAAACCTCAGATGAAATCATTTTTAGAATTTGATACAGTAACCTTTTGTAAGGCCCAAGAAGGTGTTTGGTTACTATATTTGATTTAAACTGTGTGGGAAAGAAACAGGAAGATGCCAGCTGGGCAGTTTTAACAAGACTGAAAGGGTTGCCATCTTTAAGTCTAGCATCCAACATTTCTAATAACACCATAAATACATTTACATATTTTCTCTCTTCCCCATGAGGGTTTGTTTTACCACCTGACTAAAGAATTTACACGAGCGACTGTTTATCTTCACCGTGAAGATATTTTGCTCATGCATGTAGCATGTTTTTCTTCACATGCAGATAGAAACTTAACATCTTCTTATCTTGAAGTTTGCTATTCAAGTTGCTCATTCATACCCTTTTGCCACAGGGGGAATTTTACAGCCCAGCTGCTGCCGTTTCATGAGATACATTTGGAAGTGACAAGTGTTACAGTAGAGAAGATAGACTGGTGTGAAGTCAGTATGCAATTCTCAGTGAGTTATGCTGCTTGCTTATTACTCTCAGCCAAGAGTGACTGATGATTGCTACCCACCAAGAATTCAGCGCTATAAGCTATGATAGACAAACTGTGCGAGAAACTGATCTATGATGTTTGTCCTTTTGACCCTCAAAACGTCTTCCCATTACCTCATTAAACAGTCATATTTCTAGGGTTGAACTGGGGTTAGGGTTAACCATTCAGTAAAGAGGATTAGAGTCAGAGCTTGAGGTTAGGAAATAAAAATAAATCAGCCACATGGTTTTACTAATATTGTGGCCTGTGTGTGTGTTTGTAGCTCTAGATGCTTGAGCTCACCTTTGGGGTCATCTCTGACCACCAGCAGACCGTTTCGACACACGATCTTCCCCGTGGAGGCGTCCACAAACACCAAAGATGGGATACTGGTTACCTTATACTTGTTCCACAGCTTCATCTGAAAGCAGAAAAAAAGATAAGGAGTGGTTGGAAAATACTTCAGGGAACAGATTTGTATCTAATTCCATTTCCAAGCTGGAAAAGCAGCACAAAACGGTCTAAAACTATGTGTTTAATGATGCAATGTGTGCACCTGGAGTACTACAGTGAAAACAAATGTTGATGTATTTTATTTATTTTAGCATAAATACCTCCTCTGTCATTTAAAATAAACCCTATGGACTACAAAAGCAGAATGAAAATAGTAGGAGAGTGCAGGCAGCCCTGAGGTGAACTAGCACAGATGTGCTGTCCCTGCGGCATCATGAATAACAGTAAAAGGAAGTGCGCAACATAAGAGACTCGTACTTTTGTAGGCTTTTATGAACGTTCATTGGCCTTAAATTTAATCATAATACTTTCCTATATGCCAAGATGATATTAACCATCTCATAAAGCCAGATAAGACCCTTTACAGACAGATCTGTGTGTGAACTGACGCTATTCATCGAGTTCAGAGATCAGCATAGTCCTTAACATCAAAGAGCAGATCAAGCATTTTCTGAGGCTCGCTTTCCATATCAGAGGAAGAGTCCTACGCTGTGAATGGAAAATAGCCCTGTCTTGTAAAGAGCAGCAATCATCCCTGTGCAGCGCTGCTGCTTCAGCATCTACAGAAGAGGAAAAGGTTCTCTTTGCTTGAAAACCTGAAACCAGCTTGAAAAATTGAAATACAGAACGGAAAAAGAAAATACATATTATAAAACATTTTTAATAAACACACACTGCGTCTTCAAGGTCAAAATATAACAAAACACCTTTGCTGGAAATCGTGTATCTACTGAAATATAGTCAAACTAGAGCATTGAGTTCATCTTTGAGATATAAACACATACTTTGCTTGCTGTCATAAATTATTTCCTGCTGCACAAAGCTAAACACTTCTAAACAGTCAAATGAAATGAGCACCGCTCAGTGCGGTAAGCCTGGAGTTTGCTTACTGTTGAGCTCCAGGCTGATGAAAACCTTTTGTTGCACTCTTTGTGAAAACAGTGACTTCACTGCCCTTTGGTTTTATCATCACTGTTCGTACAGCAGTGACACCTCACCGAGAGGCACTGCACATTGTTTTTACTCGACTGCAAAGTGCAAAAGACACACAGACGATGCTTGCTAGGTGTAGACGTAAACATGCAATGGAATCGCAAGGATATTGATATTTTTCCCCTCACATACAAGGTCTTGAATAGTCAAGCCCCGATCCTACTTTTAAGACTAGGTTTAAAACTTTCCTTTTTGATAAAACTGGATCAGATTACCCTGAATTCTCCCTTATGCACGCTGTAATAGGCCTAGACTGCCGGGGACTTCCCACGATGCAGTATTTCTTCTTCACTCACCTCTCTCTGTGCATTTAATCATTGGTTATTATTAATCTCTGGCTCTCCTCCACAGCCTGTTCTGTCTCCCTTCTCACATCACCAACCAGTCGTGGCCGATGAGAGGTTTCTTCCTGTTAAAATGGATTTTTTTTCCTTCCCACTGTGACCAAGTGCTTGCTTATAGGAGTTCATCGGATTATTGGGGTCATCAGATTGCAGGGTCTGACCATAGAGTCACAAATGGACCTGCTGAGGAGATCCAACACTATATTTCTATTCTTTATGTTGTTGAAGAGTTTTGTTTTAGCTGCTGTTGGTGTTAATACACTCCAAGCCAAGAAGTCTTGTGCCTGTTACTTCAATCAGCAGCTACCGCCGAGTAGGTTTCTCTAGCAGGTCAGTATGCTCTTTGCAGCGCTGATTTATTATGATAGTTTGGTTGAGAGACTGATCATACGTGCGATTGCTTTTTCATGCCCCCTTGTTAACAGCACAGGTCAACCGCACGACCTTCCTACGACAGAGGTCAGACGGTTTGTTCGCTGGACAAGACGACCCGGAGCCTCTCAACTATGTCGGTCTGGAATTCCCTCAAAAGCAAACTTCAGTGTCTGCCACAGTCAACAGCTTTACCACACACTTCATGCTCTTCTGGAAACTCAATCTCTGCTCACAAATTGATGGGGTTAGAGGCATTAAGTGTGACTGTCTCCGAAAGCTAGCAGCACACTGCTGCCTCTGCACAGCCATTTCGCTCTGCTGCTGTCATTCAGACTGATAATGTCAACTTGAGAGCCAGATTTAGCTAAAGAACAGAGAGATGAGAGAAGAAGATTTAGAGTGGTGCTGCACTGAGGTGGGCAGCAGCAGCAGAGTACAAAGAAAGATCTGAACATCCACTTGGAAACAGTCTTTTCAGTACTGAAATAAACTGCTGTTGGACAACAGAATCTCACTGGCTTTGGCGATAAGGCCACCTTACTCTGAATGCTTCACAACTTTAAGAGTTCAGCAGTAAATATTGGTCTTGTGTGTCTCTCCAATCCATCATCTAGATGATCATACAGACCAACACATGACAGATTCACGTGCATCCTCTGAGATCGTGTTAAGATTCCTGAAGTGCAGGGATGCTTCTTGCAGGAGTAAAGAAAGAAGGCTGTGGACTGACTGGTAAGGCTCTGAAATTTGTCCAGCAGCCTCCGACACAAAACCAAACCCTCCTCTTTGTATTCCCACCAATCCACAGCATCCTTGAATCCTTCTGATGATTTGGCCGCAGATCAGAGTAGCCCAGGATGTTAAATCTTTCAAGAGATTAGATCTGTCCTCAACATGAACAGGCTGTTAGGATGGAAGAATAACCTTGTAACGACAAAGGATGCGCACACCCGAGTCAAACAAACAAGCAGAACTCAGCCCAATTTTAGCACCTTGACAGAAAAGTGGGAATCATGTATATCACAGCCGTGTGTTGAGCTTTTCTTGTCATCCACTTTAATCTTTCTATAAGATGTTGGCTTTTGTAGCAACCGCTCTAGCCTCTTTTATCCTCATGAATAGAAAACATGAGGATCATATGCCTCAGTGATCTATTTTCACCCCCTCCCAAAAAACACAGTTTCATTGTGCAGAGGTACAAGCTATCCATTATAGCTCAGACAGTAAATGCACAAGCTGACATGACAGGTTGTAAAAACTGGAACATGACCCCCCCCCAAATCTTGTCCGGTATTATTTAGTCTGATGTTCAACAAAAAGCGTCCTTATGTTTCACTTTGAAGAAAAGAGAGACGAACACTTGTTTATTGTCTTGGCAAGATTAAGATGACAAATTATTTTGTCAGTCAGCTGCCTATTAGAACCCAAAAATTGCAGGTCCTCATCCAGTCACCTGAGGCTGGCTTGAGTGAATCCCCACAGACTCGTGTAACAATGATGGGAAAAAGTAGGATAACAGACCAATTTAACACTGTAACAAATAAATTAACAGTTAAATCTGACAGACA